TATCCTTGTTTGTCGCACGGCGTAGATCGCCGGCAGATTTTCCAGGGTGCCGGTACGCGCTGAGCTGATGCTGAGCCGCTTTGATTTTATAAATTCGCCGTAATGGGGGTAAGTGCATTCGAATATTCCAAACCTATACTGCTTTCTCCGCAATAATTTCATTTATTAACTGTGCCTTATACATGTGTTATATAGCTACGGGTAAGCACTATGAATATTTTAGTTTTCTCGTTTTTTTATACTGTGATATCGTGAATGTTTGGTATATCGCTTACGTTGACTAATTTACAATTTTGCTTTTAGCCCCTTTATACTTTCAGTACCTCGCGTCAAAAGTTCATTGTATTAGTTCTGGCGCTTGGGAAGATTTTGGTCAACTATATGACTATTTGAAAAATCGGATCGATCTCGAGGGTCCATTGGAAAATTATGTGGTTTTTATTAATAATAAAGAAATGGATTTTGTCTGAACAAAAATGCAGATCATCGACTTCCTTAAACAACAGAAATGTTCGAGTGATAATCCAGTCCGGATATCTGATGTAAAAAAAGGTATGATATTCAGTCACTAGCCGATCACAAATAATCTGAATTAATGCAATCTTATCTTGTTACTACTTAGAAAAAGCGGATGAACCGTCAAGTAAGCTGATTACGAATAGTATTATTCTATTGGCGATTTTTGAGCGAAGTTTAATTATTTCTTGTACATTCTATATTAGAGTTGTTATATCGTCCTAGAAGTGAGGAAGATGATGAAATCGTCCAGAAAGCTTTTAATAGAACTTTCAAGATCCAAGTAACCTTTCGGAAAGGTTTATACAATTTATTGACAAGTGTCTAGATGAATACAATACGATTGGTAGTTATGATTGTGCGCCATATACAACCTTAATTCAAAGCCAGTAGTGTAGGAAAATCCAAATTATTGATAAATGTTGCTGAAGAGATAATGTCAGTATATAGCTGCTTGCGGAAATCCGAATCAAGTGGCTATCCACCCAGATCGGATATTGCCAAAATGCTAATAAAAGAGTTTAATAATGAACAAGATGCCAAAACTACCTACCTTGCATACATATACGCATGCTTTCAAAAGATGCAAGATTTCAGTGGAGATTGTAAGAAATGGTTGGATGAGCATACCAATAAAAATTTGCAAGAGAATTTTTGGAGAGATGTTGAAAACAGAATGAAAAATATAAAGGACCATTTAATGACATGTTTTACAGATAGCGAGACAACTGACTTGGTCGAGAAATATTTGGTTAAAAAAAACACAGCAATAAAATGAGAAGGTCCAGTTAAATACCTGTTTGTATTCAATGAAGCTAGTACACTGGTTGGTAATAAGGATGGAAGTAAAACATTGGAAAAATTTCACCGTTCTATTATATTCGACGTGCTTTAATTCTCTTACCCAAAGGAGCAGAAATTTTTGCAGTCTTTACGGACACACATTCAAATATTTCGAACTTTTCGCCTGCTTATTACCTCGATCCATCTAAAAGAGTTGCAGAAGAAAAATTTAAATTATTTGCACCATTTTATTTGTTAGACACTACGGACATGAATGTTAATCTTAGGGAGGTAAAGACATTAAAGGAGTCAGAAGATCCACGACATTTCTTTCAGTATGGAAGACCTTTGTGGGGTGCACTATTAATGCCTTCTAGTGATACTAAAGGAATGGAATCAGAACATATTATCGAATTGGCCATGGATAAGCTTATTGGCGGAAAATATTATGGTGTTTGGAGGGAAGAAGTACAAATTAAAATATTGGATACTTTGGCTATTCTAAGATCCCGTTTATGTATCGAAATAGCACCACAATCTGGATATGCGCCTTTGTATTAGTGTCTTAGAGGATCGTAAATACGTTGTTACATCGATGCCTACCGAACCTGTGCTAGCAGAGGCTAGCGCTTGAATAATGAATGATCCGCATATCAGCCTCACAGAACTTATTAATAAGCTCTCCGAAGCCTTAAAAAAAGGCGTAGTAGAGGCCGAGCTTACAGCTAGATTATTACTTCTCAACGCCTGGAATTGTTGTATCAAGAAAAAGATCCTAGATGAGAATAGCATGAATACTAGCAAAAATTATTTTCGATTCGTGGCTCTTGAAGAATTTTTAAAATCATTACTCGTGGACAATGTTTATGAGAAAATAAAGAATCGCCAGTAAAATTTACAGGAAGAAAATTCAGTGAAGCTAGAAAGAATCGTAAAAATAAATCTAAACCAGAAAACAAAATCCCTAAACCCCAAAATGCTTGGGTTCTCTTTAGAAAAGATTACGAAGCTAATCAACGTATGCGTTTTCCTGACAAGGCATTAAAAATAAAGAATGTCTCTACCAATGCAGGTGACGTTTGGAGAAATCAACCGTCCAAGGTCAAACGATTCTTTGAAATTCTCTCTAGACTTGCTCACGAACAACATTAAGCGTTATATCCTGGTTACAAGTATACACCGAAGAAAAAGGTTCCAAAGGAAACCAACAAAGATTGGATCTTCCATGATAGCGTTAAACAAGCGAGTGATGCCCAAGC